ATGAAATGTAATATCATCCAAATTTAAAGAAAAACCGATTTATACAGATGACATAGCTACTTTGAAGGGTTTCAGGTGTAATGTTTCTAAACAAATTAGATGTCATATACCCGAGAATGTAATATATATATATATACATATGATTATGTTATTTAAATTACAGAAGATTCGCGAAGTGAAAAATGGCGAGACTTTCAGAATATTATTTTCTATATCTACTTGTTGCATGAGCTTTAAAAATCGACTGTGCTGAAAAACGAGAAATAGAAACACGTTTTTTTTTGTTGGATTTCACGCAAAGGATATCTGAACAAATAGGTGTCCCCACTCGCGAAGTGGTAAACTAGATATAATGCTACGAGTGAACAATACCCCCCGCTAATTTGTGGGCTACTATTCTCCGACCAAGTAGCGGGATTTGACCTTCACTCTTATAATGCACCCACGGCCCCAATCTGCAGAGACCTTTTCTTTTTTTTTGCGGGAAGAGTACGGGAATCATTCAAAATCAACTCTAGATTTGACCTTCACTCTTATAATGCACCCACGGCCCCAATATGCAGAGACCTTTTCTTTTTTTTTTTGCGGGAAGAGTACGGGAATCATTCAAAATCAACTCTACAGTTTGGCACACTAAAAACACAGAAAATAATGCTAATCAGTTTTACTTTTCACTGCATAATCTATTTTTACTTATAGAGTTTACTGCCTTTTCAAAGATGAAAATCTCCTCCCTGACGAAAATAAAAAGCCGATATCGCGGACAATAAATTTATTTTTTTTTTACTGTAAAGGTTCAGTTTTGGTAAATAATATCTCGATTTTTTAGCGTACGCTGTGTAAATTTTAAAAATGAGTTACCCATGTTGAAAAAAACAATAACAACAAATGATTCTTTCTTTAACTGATCGTACGGGAACTAACGATAAACATTTCGGGCTGTGGATCGAAGGGTCCGGGTTTCCAGATGTGTTGTTCCTCAATACGATTTTCATCGTCAGTTGTGGGCGCGTTATAAAAATGGTTGTTAACACTGTTAATCGGTTTAAAGAGTATAAAAAAGTACTTACGATGAGGGGTACTGTTCGCAGTTCATAATTAGGGAAGGATATTCCCAAATTTTAGGGGCTGACCTGGCAATTAAACAAGTAATGTTGTTTAGCTTATAATTCTTAATTTTTCAGTTGTGTTTTTTTATTTTTAGCCGTATAATTAACTGCTTTAAAGCTGCAGATACTAGATCGTTTGTTTGTAGTTAAGCACAAAACTACACAAGGGGCTATCGAAGCCCGGTTTGTACCATTATAAATCCACAGACTTACCGCTGTGCCTCTAAGGGCACTTGTTTGAGAGGAAAGCCACATTGGGTTATCTGCGTCCACTGCGGGGAATCGAACCCTAGGGTTTAGCATTGTAAGTCCGTAAACTTACCGCTGCCTCACAGGGGACACAGATACTGATGTGCGATCATTTAAACAGAATAGTAAGTTTAGCAAATAAAGTGTTTCCTCAACATATCTATGAAACCACCACTGTTTAGTTTGTTACAGAATACTTTTTGGGTTTGATGAATACAACGACCGATAGTTATAAAACATTATTTCTATTATGCATGATTAGGTTCAATTGAATTATTCTGTTTGCTTTAGCCATCATTTTTGTAATTTAATTTTTCGGTAATGTTTTCTTATATTGAATAAAATACCTACAGAACAGCATCAACATATACAGAAAGAAAATTGGTTTAAAGTTCTACTTTTAGAAACATCCGTTTGAATAATACAGTAAGAAACTAATGTTATTAATCGCGATGTTTTATACAATTCAATGTGTATAAAGAGTTTTTCTCATTTCCACAACTTATGCGTTTTATATACTAATACAGTATCCTTTAAGCTCATAGATCGTGTAAACGTAACCCGTTTCTTATCTCAGGTCAAACTATTTTACTTGTTTTCCGCGCATTTTTCACTGTTCTGTTATTTTCAAGTTGTTGTCAATAATAGTATCTACACAGTCGAATGTGATGAAGCGCCGATATAGTACGTACGCTTGAAAAGACTTATAAATATAGGCGTTTTTTATTTCAGTTCATTGTTTGTTTAAGTGCAAAGCTGCAGAATGAGCTATCTCTGCTCTGCATTCTGCGTGAATCGAACTCTCATATATATATACATTTATATACCGTAGATCCACCAACAGTTCATGTGAATTGTGTTATTTTAACCTTAAAAGCTTTGAATCCTGTTCTTCAGTTAAGACTTACTATTAGGTAGATGTTAATTTCTACATTATAGAATATAACTATTAGCAGTACATATATATATACATGTATGTAAAACAGGATAAATAAATCAATGTAAGCGGAAGATAAGTGATACCTTCCTTTCATTTATCAAGATGACAGGAACAGCTCCTGTTAAACTGTCGTAAAATGAAACGCCCTCAGAAATGTTAAAGGTTGCTATAAAATTAATCACCGATTTGCAAATGAAAATTTTAGTGTAAACTAACAACTGTTTTCTGATAAATTTGACATGATTAGTCTTTGAACACGTTTCATACTTGCGCATATCCTGATAGGTGAATAAGATTACAAGTTATCAAGGTGTGCTTTACTAATGTTGAACGTATAATATACGTGTGATATACATATAAACATATATATAAAAACATATAAACGTGTAACCGACTGCACAAAAAGTTTGGAGGTTGTTAGATTAGATAGCTTTGGAGTTTACGCTAGAATAGTTACAAGAGTCACCTACAGGGAATTTTTCGTTTACGAGAGTTGAGACATTTTTTCATCAATCTCGAACCTTAGAACGATTTAGGTGAGTCAATACATTATGCGGCCGTTGTGTGGAGACAATCTTGATAACGCAAATAATCTTAATTGACTAAATTGAAAAGTTAAGTGACTCAATAGCTTAAAGTGATTACTGTTGCCAATCGGAAAAAAGATGATTAATAAGGTTAATTAAAGAACGTGATAAGTTAAATCTAACTACTGTTTTAAGTGTAAGAACATCGATAAAAAAGATGGCATAAGAATAAAGAAAGTTCCTCAACGTATTTTCATGTTATAGAGTCTGAAAGATTAGTCAGAAAATTTGTTCAAATGGTTTGCTTAGACGTATGGTGCTAGAAACCTATAACCACAAGATCTGGAGAAAACCATCCTAACCTTTAATGATTGAGCTCAATCATCATACAGATACTTATATAAGATGAGGTAAACGGGAGATGACGAAATCTCTTATTTCTTGGATGATGAAGAAGCCGAAATATGACACTGCTTAAACGACAGTGATAGTTAATCCTTATCTACTCATTTTAGACTCTATATGGTTACCTTGTTGGAGCATAAACGTCTGTGTATCTGCCGCTTCAAACATACTTAAAAATACAACAAGGGACGAAGAGATATAATACCTATGCTCCTGATAAAGAAGCAGTAACTGGATTCACTAATTACATAACTTACTTCCTTTCTACATCATTCGAAATACATCTGCATACACAAACTTTAATCATTCAATTGCAACATCTCTAATGAAGCTGAACTTGGAAGTTATTCGATATCATGTAGTTTTTCTAACAGCTTGGTTTGATCTGTATGTGTGAATTTAAGAATTGTAACCTAGTCATAAAGTGTGAACTCGTAGAAGGCTAATCTCCATGGTTGCATTTCGGCATTGTAATATAGCTATAAAGTTAGAACTCATCGAAGGTTAATCTCCATGTGTGAATTTAAGCATTGGAATATAGTCATAAAGTGTGAACATGTAGAAGGTTAAAGGACATCATCTTTGGTAGTGTTAGCCTTTCCAATCATTTTTACATATTAATCATACTATTCTTTAGTTACTTAAAACTATTTTTAACATTTATCTTGACCATTGAAAGTATTTCTTGATCGTATTTGATTTGTGTTAAGAGGCTTGCACCAGTTTGTGTCCAAAAACAACGTACACAAATCATTTTGCGAGTTTACACTTTCTGATTAGATTAAAATGCTAAGCTTTTGACATGCAAATTAACTTTCTAAGAGTTCACACTTTATGACTATATTACAATGCTTAAATTCACACATGGAGATTAATGAATCTTTTCTGAGATCCACTTACTGATTAGAATAAAAATGTTAAAATATATATATAATGTGATTAACCTTCCTTAACAATGCGTGAAATATTCACATTTAGGGGTTGAAATATGACCCCACAATTCTAAGATGACAGTAAACCCTAAGAGAACTGAACGTGAGAAGGTATACCAATCTAAAGATGTATACCACGAAAAACTTGTTTACGTAAATGTAATACGTGAATAACAAATTTCGTAATGTCAGCTTTCAGTTAAAGTGGCCAAGTTAATTCTGTACTTAATACGCTAATGTTTTTATCTGCGTAAAAATATAAAGTACGTGATCTCTCGTAACGTCTAACTTGTTTTATTACAGACCTTTGTTAGTTTCCACCTAATAATATATGTTATTAAGGCTAAATATATGTTTATTTATTTGTTGTTAAGCGCAAAACTTATAAGCCTGCAGATTTATCACTGTGTCACTGGGGGGGGGGGGTATAAAGAGGTGAAATTAATAGTTTTACCATAAGAAGGAAACACGCTCAAAATACCAAATTTTATACCACATGAAGAGAGTTTAAGGAAACACTACGAACAAATAAAATATTTAAGTTGTATTTCTTTATCTTCAGGATATGCTAAAATTCTGTATCCTTCACCAGTACGAATATCTATACCTTTATGTAGAAGTAATCTCAATATCCAATCCGGTTTTAAATTTTCTATCTGTGTAGTAATATAGTCTCGAAATTAAATTGGTTCCTCCGGTGGGTCAGTGGTAAATTTACAGAGTTATAAGGCTAAAATATTGGTTTTAATTCCCCGTGGCGTACAGAGCACAGCTAGCCTTATTAGCTTTATTAAATGTCGCTGGATGAAACGACTAATCTGTCTTTTCTGATCACCAGATTTAGCGGGAAGTGAGGTGAAGTTTAACCACCAGGGAGACGGATTAGGACGCTACATCATTTACAATTATCAGAGAATAGGTAATTCATCGCTGTTTGAATATAAAAGACTAGGACGCTGGCTTGACGGACTGCATCTTGACCTAGACGAGGTGGTATGGAACCAGGGTAGGAGACAAATCCCAGTGTCCATCTGCAGTGCTCCTTGTGGAGTAGGAGAGGTAAAAAAGATGCAAGTAGGAGACATTTGTTGTTGGATCTGTTCGAGCTGCAAACCATGGGAATACGTTCTAGACGAGTTCACTTGCGCGGACTGCGGCCACGGACGTTGGCCGTACGCGGACAAGGCAAGCTGCTATGACATAACTCAGCAATATATGCGGTGGAACTCGTATTTTGCCATTGTACCTATTGGAGTATCTTGCCTGGGCATCTTTCTGACAAGCACTGTTATTATTGTTTTCCTCCAGAACAACGACACACCGATTGTCAAAGCATCAGGGCGTGAACTGAGTTATATGTTGCTCACTGGTATCCTGATTTGTTTCTTTATGACCTTCGTCTTGCTAGCTAAGCCCAGCATGGTGATCTGTGGGCTACAACGTTTCGGTGTGGGCTTCGGCTTCTCTATAATCTATAGCTCGCTATTAACCAAGACGAACCGTATTTCTCGAATCTTTGACAGCGCTCGCAAGTCTGCTAGTAGGCCTAGTTTCATCAGTCCCAAGTCCCAAGTGGTCATCACGTTAATATTCATTGCAGTTCAGGTAATCGGAACGATGGTGTGGTTTGTGATAGAGCCACCGGGGACCAAACAATATTACCCGGACGGAAAAAGAAACCAGGTTATACTGAAGTGCAGAATAAAAGATTCCAGCTTCCTGATATCACTAGCGTATAACATGTTTCTAATAACTATCTGCACAGTGTACGCAGTAAAGACACGAAAAATCCCAGAAAACTTTAACGAATCCAAGTTCATAGGATTCACTATGTACACAACTTGTATAGTATGGCTAGCATTTGTACCCATCTATTTCGGCACAGGAAATTCTTTCGAGGTAAGATGTTCTTCCTTAATAAACAGAGTATTAGGATAATGATGTTTGGCTTAGCACCATTGATGCTTCTTAAACGCTTAAACGTCTAATTAAATCATGTACAAAAGTATCTAAAAATATTTGTAAATATTTTAAAAACGTAAGAACATATATCTTAATTTATAAAGAGTTTAAACTTCTTAACGATTGTATCTATGATGATTTAATACCAGAAAGATCGAAGTGGCCTCTAGTAGTCGTATTTTTTGTAATAAGTTTCAGAAAAAAATAAGCACTCTCCTTCCTATTAAAAGAATAGGTAAAAATATTTAAAACAAATATAATATTAATTTTTTTTTATCTAAGACAGTTAGCTTGCAATATATTTCAGACATTAAGTCATTTGTACCTGAATAGCGTTTTAGTTAAAGATTTCGAATGTTAAAATAAGATATTTGGATACGAGCTTCTTTTGAGAAACGTTGGTAGATATTTGTTTTCTAAATAGCGACTACAGTTTAACAATGGTATTTCGTAATTATCCCTTTAAGGTAAGTGAACTTATTGTTATGAATATTATTGTAGTTCATTTTACTGTTGGATATGGTATTTCGTAAGTGAACTTATTGTTATGAATATAATTGTAGTTAATTTTACTGTTGGATATGGTATTTCGTTATTATCCCTTTAAGGTAATGAACTTATTGTTATGAATATAATTGTAGTTAATTTTACTGTTGGATATGGTATTTCGTAATTATCTCTTTAAGGTAAGTGAATTTATTGTTATGAATATAATTGTAGTTAATTTTACTGTTGGATATGGTATTTCGTAATTATCCCTTTAAGGTAAGTGAATTTATTGTTATGAATATAATTGTAGTTAATTTTACTGTTGGATATGGTATTTCGTAATTATCCCTTTAAGGTAAGTGAATTTATTGTTATGAATATAATTGTAGTTAATTTTACTGTTGGATATGGTATTTCGTTATTATCCCTTTAAGGTAATTGACTTATTGTTATGAATACTATTGTATTGAATCTTGTTGTTAAAATGGTTTGCTAATGGTATTTCATAATTACTACTTAAAGATAAGTGAATTTGCTGTTATGATTATTATTATTGTAGTTTTTCTTGCTGTTAAAAGTTTCGATCAATTTAAAGGCTCTGTTGTGTTTTGCATATTATTTTCATTCACAAGGTTTTTCGTTGTCATTTTTGTTATTGTTATTTATGATCAGAAGTTCGGGTTATTGATATACTATCCAAAAAGAAATTACAGTGTTGTAGAACATAATCGAAGTTTAAGCGTTAAAATAACAGTATTTAAGTCACATCTTAGGTACAACCTGCATTAAACGGCCAGGTCAATGACCCTCCAAGTTAAAATAAAGCGTTCCTGATTTAGAACTTCTGACCAAAAGTAGAGCAATCAGGCAGCGAGATTGACTATTACTTTTATAACGCAATCACTAATATGAAAGTATAGAGTGTGTTCAAAATCGTATCCCAGGCTCGAACCCTGGAGCTTCAGATCCACGGCCTGTTACAATGACTACAAGGCCACGATTGATCTAATTAAAATATTTTCTTTCCTTATTTTAATATACATCGTTAATTACACTTGTATGTCTTAACAGGAAAGTATTAACTATTAGCGGTCAAAAATAAAAGTAATGTAAAGTATGAAATGTAACACCTTTATTCAAATTCAAATGCATGGTGAAATACGAAAGGATGTTTCAGAATTTCGCTCATAGCCGTCGTTAATTTTGAAACGGCAGACTAGAATAAGTGCAGGCTGTTCTTGTCAGATCGAATAGCAGAATTTGACTGTTAACGTCATAAGGCACCAACAGCCCTAAAGTACGTATTGCGTTTATGGAGCACCGGGTCACGAATAGTGAAATCCTAGCCCACAAAAAGATGTACCCCTTCTTCGTCGCCAGGATCTAATAAAACATTTGTACAAGTGTATTTTTAATTTGTCCTTTTTATAACACACTGTTACGTACAGAAAATTTCGCAAAAAGTTAGTAATTCCTTTCCTTTTTAGAAAATGCCCAACTGATACATCAACTGAGTTGTTTTTTTTTGTTGCCATAAAAAAAGGCAAAAATCACTTTTTCTTTCTTGCTAACAAAGTGTAGTGATGTGTTTTTGATGGGTAGTGTGTGTTTTTGGATGTTTGAATGAATACTTCATGTTTCAGTAAAATAGTTTGCTAGACGTTCTCCACTTGATGAATTTGAAATGTTTTATCTTTAGAAAATTTAAACGCTTTTCGTTTCAGTTTGAATTCTAACTTAAAATGATTTTGGTGCACTTTTCATCAGTATGCGAACAATGAATTTTTCTCATGTTTTTGGAAAACAAATTACAGTTTCTCGTGAAAATATAATTGTCGAACTGCAGTCAGTCAATTTTTACTCGTAGTTAGCGACAGCAAAGAAGTTACGTGTAACATCAAAAAAGTCTTAGTGGTCACTTGAACAGAAACAATTGCATACCTTTTCTAGTCCCCCAGTGGGTCAACGCTAAGTTCTGATTTATAACGCTAAAATCCGGTGTTCGATTTCTTGTGTGGACAGAGCGCATATAGCCCATTGTGTAAACTTTGCGTTAAAAAAAAAAAGACCAATTCAACTAAGTGACTATACTTTAAAGCCTACTAACTGCTTTATCGTCAACAAATTGCACACAGTCTGGTTGCTATGGTGATAGTTTGACAACAGAATTGAGTTACAAACCCATTTCTTTTATCCTGCTAGCAAGTAATAATTGTGAAACTTGGCAGATATTAAAGTAACAGAAACATAGATTATGACGTTATGTACAGCAAACAATAAAAAAAAAATTCAAAACGATATTCCTGTTACCAATAAACGAGCATACGTAGCAGATAATGAGAGCAGCCTTGACTTCGACAGATTACAATGACGCTCATAACAGTATATCGAAATAAAATCGTTTCATGTCATGGAACAGACGGAATCGATTTTGTCAAAGCTTAAGCCTCACAACAACGTTTAATATTTTCGAAAATTACACGCGTTATAAGTAGTGATGACTGTATTTATTACTATGAAGCTAATTTATGTATACTACCTGAGAGTATCCGTTTAGAATCAAAAATTGTATAAAGGACAATATTAAATAATATTGCTTTTCCTTCTTTCTCTTGTTATTAAATCCCTAATGACCTCATTAGATGTTAATTTCATACTTTGCTTTGTGAAGGTAATAATTTAACTGACTAAGTACTTGTGTTTTTAACAACAAAGCCAAAAGTCTATAAAATGTGGAAATGTGCCCTCTATCGGGATGTTTTGATCCTCCCTCTCGAGAAAAAATCCTAAAACAAAATAACAATGCATACCGTTGGATAGTTTTCAGTAACCACACAAAATATTATGCTAATTGAGCCACCTCAAAGTTTTTTTAAATAGGTGAAACTCTAGCATATATTAGGGTGTTTTTATTCCCTTTCTCGGGAAAAAAAACAAACTTAAATAAAATAGTCCTTGTACACACGTTGTACAGGTTCCAGTTACCATACTAAAGATTATGCTAATCGAGCCAGCCGACTCTGGATGATGGATGCTAACACACACATCGTGCTTATAGTTAGATTGCATTATTTACATTTAAACAAATACAGTGGCACAGCGATAAGTCTGCGGACTTATATTGCTAGAAACCGGGTTTTGATACCCGTGGTGGGCAGAGCACAGATAGCCCTTTGTGCTTAATAACAAACAAACAGGTATGATTCTGCACTTCAGCATATTTAATTTCGGCAATAGATCATGTAATATGTTTCAGTTGTAATTCCTTGTGTTCTTTTGATTTAAGAATTCTAGATAAAACATTTGGTGTTAAAACTTCTGATGGCTAAAGACGGAATGTCGACATTGTATATTTTAAAAATACCTAGTAAATTATTTGTCTAATACTTGAAATGTCCATCTTTGGATTTTATACACATTTCATACAGAGTTATAGCTGATATATAAGCAGAAGAAGCCATTCATCGATATATCCCCTTAAATAATCTGCACATAAACATCGAATGGGCTTTTGCAGGCTTTGAACCAAAACACATGCAAGTGTTTCTCTTGTTTGATTGATGCTAACGGTACACGGACGCCTCACCTTTCTGGATGCATGATATACCGAACCAGTTACTTTAGCTAACGGTACACGGACGGCTCACGTTTCTGGATTTGTTTGGTGCTAACGGTACACGGACGGCTCACGTTTCTGGATTTGTTTGGTGCCAACGGTACACGGACGGCTCACATTTCTGGATTTATTTGGTGCTAACGGTACACGGACGTTTTGGATGCATGATATACAGAAACCGGTTTCTTAAAAAAAGAAATTCAATGCTTTGATTATTTTGGAGATAATTGAGTCTCACTTGAATGAGGTTCGTACTAACGCCAAACTACCAACACGTTTTCGTATTTGTATACCATCTATATCGCACCAGTTCTTTGTTCAGCACTGAGCCTAAATGATCCTATACCTCTTCCTTCAATTTTAAGAATCCTCTTACACCTCGACTAACTTATCAGCAATGCCTAAAACAAAATTCTACTATTTATATATATATATAATAAGTTTAATAGTTATTTTTGGGACACACACACACATACATAGAGTAATTTTTGAAGCTTTTAAAATTCATTTCAGTACTCAAGATGTTCATTAATTATTTGTACTCGATAGACTGTAGCGTAGAGAGGTATTTAACATTAGAATTACCGATTGAACCTAAATGCACTTTTATAAACTATTTACGCATTAAGTTGACAGTGGGTGCATGACTTTGTAAGTTACAGGGTCTCGCTTCACACAAATGTAAATCAAAACTCAATACTGGAATTACTTCAACTAATTACTGTGGGAGTTTTCTCTGTATTTTAGTTAGAAAATAGGTGGTTTAGGGTAACTTTTTTATTACATCTTTACAGAAATTGTTGAAATAGGCAAAATCATAATATTACTCTAT